GGGAGGGTATATACCCACGAGCTACCAGACTAGTAGAATTGTTTTGTTGTTTTCAAGGGCAGCCTAGGGAGCAAGTTGGCACAGAGTAGTCAGGACTCTTCTGAAAGCCAGTGGGTCTGTCGTGCTGAAGCAGTCCGCAGATGATTCTCCTCGAAAATTGTTGGAGGGACTCCTTATCGTTAGCACCACCACCAAGGCGGCCTCTTCAAATGCACGTGATTATAATCCCAAATCACAGGTTTCGAGTCCCTGCGTGCACAGTCTCTTGTGACTTGCAGCATTTTTCTTACATTGGCTGTTCCTTGTTGCGGTTCAAATGAAATGTATCAAGACAGTCGTGGGGTGTGCACCGCATGGTTAGCCTCCCTGTCTCTGGTAGCCCTCCTGAATGACACTAAGGAGCATAATGACATTCTTCCAGACCTGGCTCAATCATTTTAATCACATAAAGCATAAGCACCCCTGTTGCTAATCCCAGCTCAGGGCTTCCCGGTTCCTGAAGTCAGCCTAGTAGGGAATTCAATTAAGGATCCACCCTGGCAGAATAATTTACTCAGTTGTTACAACTGGGAAAGGAGATTCACAGCAGAGAGAAACGGGAATTGCAGGTTACCACGCAGCCCCTTTGCATCTCAACCCAGAGGCACTGCCTCTTAGAGGAAGGATGGCGGTTTTGTTCTGGGTCATTTGTCAAATCGAAATTTCCATTTTCTTGTCTAGTCACTGGTTTCCATCTGCTTCGCAAAAGGACTATGAAAACACTTCTCCTATGTTTAGTTTCTTGGAATGTTGTGTGTCTACTTAAAGAGTTTCCCTTCTCATGTTTTTTTTAGAGAAGTAAAATTATATTCAGCATGCATGACAGCAGCACTTTCTTTCTAGACAGTAGAAAGAAAAGTCATTCAGGCCAAGCACGGTGGCTCACCCCTGTAATCCCAGCACTTTGGGAGGCTGAGGCAGGTGGATCATCTGAGGTCAGGAGTTCGAGACCAGCCTGGCCAACATGGCAAAATCCCGTCTCTACTAAAAATACAAAAATCAGCTGGGTGTGGTGGTGCACACCTGTAATCCCAGCTGCTCAGGAGGCTGAGGCAGAAGAATTGCTTGAACCCAGCAGGAAGAGGTTGCAGTGAGCCAAGATCACACCACTGCACTTCAACCTGGGCAAAAGAACAAGACTCCATCTCACCAAAAAAAAAGAAGAAGAAGAAGAAAGAAAGAAAAGAAAAGTAATTCAAAACTTAAAATTTTTGTTTTAATTTCACATGAATATAGTTTAGATGTAGTGTCCAAATAGATTTTTTATTGGGTGTTCTGAAGTCCTTTCTCTCAATACTTCTTTAAACTGCCAGTTTTATTACTTACGTTTATTTCAGAAAAATTAAAAATGCTATTTTTTCCTCCTTTTTCTAAATGAATACATAAATGTCTTGGAAGAGTTGAGTGACCATATTGCAGAAAACACGGAAAACAGAAAACATTCTTCACAGCCCTCGTGTCAGAAAACAAACGTTTGCTGTTTGTTAGAACTACTTTGGCCCCGTCTGTTGTTTGCCTTTTGATTTTTGTACTTTTTATATTCACAATTTTTTTATTTTATTTATTTAGATATCATTTTTAAGCTTAGAAAGCATTTGAGAAAAATCTGAGGCATCATAAAATTTTAAAGAGAAGAGAAGCAATTCCTGAATTGGAGAACACCAGACTGAAAAATGTTTAGTGTTCCAGTGACAAATCGCCAGATTGCCTGGGGCAAGTATTTATGGGGTAAATATGGAAGCAAAATAAAGAAATTATTTGGTTGGTTTGTAATTACAACACTGCCTTTTTTAAAGTACTTTAATGGAAAGTCACAAAATCATATGTTAGTGGGATGTTTATGGTATGTTAGTTGGCTGGGTTATGTTTTAGTTCTAACATAAGCATTTATCAAAAATGACCCAAGTTTTGTTTTGCTTATGTTTACAATGTAAACAAAATCAAAGATATTTGTAAGACCTACCTGATTTTGTTTGCTCAGAAATTTTTCAGGCCTGAGTCTTCATTTTAATTTTTTTCTTTTAACATTTTGCCCCCTTTAGTCATTCCTTCAGCAAAACACTGAGCAAATGGCATAGCATACCTCTGGTTTAGCACTATTGATGCAGCTGTGGGGACAAACAGTCAGGAAGATGTTACCATTATAAAAAAAAAATAGATGTGGCCGGGCGCGGTGGCTCAAGCCTGTAATCCCAGCACTTTGGGAGGCCGAGGCGGGTGGATCACGAGGTCAAGAGATGCAGATCATCCTGGTCAACATGGTGAAACCCCATCTCTATTAAAAATACAAAAATTAGCTGGGCATGGTGGCGCGTGCCCGTAATCCCAGCTACTCAGGAGGCTGAGGCAGGAGAATTGCCTGAACCCAGGAGGCGGAGGTTGCAGTGAGCCGAGATCGCGCCATTGCACTCCAGCCTGGGTAACAAGAGCGGAACTCCGTCTCAAAAAAAAAAAAAAAAAGACTCCATCTCACCAAAAAAAAAAAAAAAGAAGAAGAAGAAGAAGAAGAAGAAGAAGAAGAAGAGGAAAGAAAGAAAAGAAAAGTAATTCAAAACTTAAAATTTTTTAATTTTAATCCTTGGGACCATATGATACACCAGGGTTAAACCTAGTAACCCTAAGGAGAGTAACAGCCAAGAACTGAAAAACTTCCTCTGAGCAAAGATTTCCAGAAGTCAAGATTTAACCAACTGAATAAATAAATGGAAGAGGCAGCGCTTTTCTGATTAAGGGGGAAAATCATATTTTTTCTTTAAGATCTTTTAGATACAGGGCAACAATTTCCAATTTATTAAAATAGCAACAATTTTTTTATCAGAGCACAAGTTGTTGCTTATCAAGTTGTTAAGGTATCAAGAATTTCTATTTAGGAGTACTGTTGAGGCTCAATTGCTCATTTCAGATTGCATCGCTTGAACAGAATTCAAAGTATTTTTCTATGAAAACAAAAGAAAAACAAAGGTTAATATTTGAAGCAAACCATGGTCTTTCTTATCTGCCAAAAGGCAGCCAATCAAGATTTTAGATTGAAGCATCTTTAGATGGTGGAATGGAGATGACAGTTCCCCATGTTGATGAAAAGAGTCAAACTCTGTAACGTAATTGATATTCTGAGCCAAATACGAGTGACCAATGGCCCGTGACGTGGCCCTCAGAAAATCCTGAAAACATGTGCCCAAGGTGGTCAGGGTACAGCTTGGTTTCATACATTTTAGGGAGACATGACGTCAATCAAATGCTTGTAAGATTTACATTGGTTCCATCTGGAAAGGCAGTTAGATTGGCAATTGGTTGAAAGACTTATTATCTAAAGACCTGGAATCAACAGAAAGGCATGTCTGGGTTATGATGATAAGGGGTTGGGGAGACCAGAGTTTCATCATGCAGGTGAAGCCTCCAGGTAGCAGGCTTCATCTTATCAGACGTAAGGTTTCGATGTTAATGCTGGTCAGCTTTTCCTGAATTTTAACAGAGAGGAGGGTATAAAGAGGCATATTGGACACCCCTCTCCTGTCGTGGCCTGAACCAACTTTGGAATGCCCTTAGCGATGAGGAGGGGTCCACTCAGATGATTGAGGGGCCTTAAAATTGAATTTAATTTAGGCTAGATTTAGTTAAATTCACAGAGATAAAACTTCAAAGAAGATGAACAGGACTACACTTTTATCATGGGTGCACTATATTTTTCTACTGAAATACAATGTTTTTTAGAGTTACTCCCATTTTTACTAAAAATAATCAGTTAATTCTCTGTGGTGCTGGTGCCCCTCCACCCACATGTTCCCGATGGCCTTCGTGAACAGCATGTCCCCAGGCCTTCCCATGGAACAGGGAACGTCACACTCCACTGAAGTCTTCTGACCCTGCAGGCCAACCCAAGGGGAGCACTGAAGAGAAGACTGCCCCTTGGAAGAGTCCTATATTGGGCAGAGATTGATCAGTCTGGTATCACCAGCATGCTCAATCATTGGCTGAGGACCATCTAGGAAGACTATGGCTTCTTATCCAAAGCAAGGCAGGTCTTGAAGAGGCTGACAGCTGCAGTCCATCTGCTAACTGCACTTCAATGTCAGGGAAGACTAAAGCAACACATCTCCAGAGTTGCTACATCTCTGGTGTGATGAGAGGTGTTCTCATAATTATCTACATTCTTGTTGTTTTTATGTCTTCTCAAAGGATTATATATTCAGAAAACCTATATAAATATTTTATAAAAATTAACTGATCAGTTTGGCACATTTCCCGCCATCCTTTGTAGTGTTGGTGGTCTTAGAGAAGATAGAGTTGCAAGAATTGAGGGAAGACTACAGGAAATAAGGGAGTTGCTAGGTATCCATTCCCTGATTGGCAACATGACTATACATTACTTTCTCATAGAGTTTTTATGCCAACCACATGAGACATCTGTGTTATCTTCTGGTGCCATGACTGACACATGGTAGGTTTGCAGTGTGGGGTCACAGCACTCAGGCTTCCAAAGAGGAGGGGGTGGGGCACTGGGGAGGAGTATTAGATCTTTCTCACACTGCTACGAAGAAACACCTGAGACTGGGTAATTTATGAAGAAAAGAGGTTCACCTGGCCCACAGTTCTGCAGGCTGTACAGGAAGCATGATGCTGGCATCTGCTTGGCTTCCGGCGAGGCCTCAGGAAACTTACCATCATGGCAGAAGGTGAAGGGGGAGTGGGCACATCACATGGCCAGAGTAGGAGCAAGAGAGAGGAGGAAGATGCCACACACTTTAAAACAGCCAGATCTTGTGCGAACTCACTCACGATCATGAGGACAGTACCAAGAGGATGGTGCTAAAACGTTCATGAGAAATCCACCCCCAAAATCCAATCACCTCCCTCGAGGCCCCACCTCCAGCACTGGGGATTACAATTCAACATGAGATTTGGACAGGATATATATCCAAACCGTATCAGGAGGACTCATTTACCACAATAAGAGGAGGAGCTGAAGGGGCAGTTTATGAGAACCTGAGATTAGATGGGGGCTGATCTCTGCAGATGCCTCTGGAAGGATGGAAAGGAGCTACTGAAAATAACTCTCATGACCCTGGAACTAAATTTCCCTGCTTTCCTTCATTCTCGGGAGGGCTCGCCTGCGTGGTAACACACTGGTAAAGCCTCTTCTACGCTACTTACTGTGCTTCCTGCTCTCCCTGAGAAGGGGCATCACCCATTTCTACCTTCATCCATGACCAGGGAAACCAAGGGCAAAGTGCCAAGTTATGAGCCTAAGAACACACGTTAAAGAAGTTCTTCTGTTTCTTCTGTGGCCGAATGGACAGCATGCTGGTTTTTCTTGGGTACGTACATGGAAAATGAAAGCTGTGGGTTTTGCTTTTGTTTTCGTTTTTCTTTTGCAAGTAGGGATCTTCATGCCAAGTTCAGCATCTCAGATTCTTTTTCTCCCGTTAGATATATTTTTAAATTTGTTTTTAGGTATCTTGCTTTACATGATGAGTTTTAACACTTAAGATGTCTTAAAGCTGATGGAAGTGGAAGTGTAATTCTTGAGCTAAAAAAAAAATCTGTCTTATGGAACAAATATGAAGATTAATGAGTTAATATTTACACAAAACTTGGAGAACATTGGCAAGTCGTAGTTTTAAATGCAAAGTCATAACCAGAAATACTCTAATATCATTTTCCATTCTGGAAGCCGGGGAGTCCTTGTTTACTCATTAATTCCCAGTTAAGAAACGCATGGTTTACAGCTGTCACACTTCTCTAAGTTCCCGAATTAAGATGCCTTGGGAACCTTCCAGTGGGTTCTTCAAAAAGCACAATAATAAGGGAAACAGCAATCCAGGACTTAGCATATTTTGTTCCTTTTCCAGGCCTGGCTGTCGCCTGCCCACAGAACCTTCACCCACTCTCCTCTCATCAGGTCTCCGTCTCTTCATCCCCTGTGAGTGGCTTGGAGAGTGGATTTTAGCCAATTGAAGGTGACAAGTCCTGGGACTACCTGATGAAAGCCACACACTTTTTTCCCCGGTAATGTGGCACACAGCATTGTTGTGAGCAGTGATTATCTGAGGCCAGTATCATGTGGGCAGTAAAAATTTACCACGACAGTTGTAGGTAAAGAACAGCAGACTTGAGGTCGAGGTAGGTAGATCATTTGAGGCCAGGAGTTCAAGACCAACCTGGCCAATATGGCAAAACCCCATCTCTACTAAAAACACAAAAATTAGTCAGGTCTGATGGTGCATGCCTATAATCCCAACTACGCAGGAGGCTGAGGCATGAGAATTGCTCAAACCCTGAACCCGGAAGGTGGAGATAGCAGTGAGCTGAGATCACACCACTGCACTCCAGGCTGGGTGACAGAGCAAGACTCTGTCTCCAAAAAAAAAAAAAAAAGGCAGATTTATTAGGAAATACATTGCAAGGGTACAAGGGACAAATTAGCAAGAGAGGAGCAGACTGCAAAGAGACAAAGCTTGCTGGAAACATTATAGGCTGGTGCTTGTGCTGCGTGCTGGGAGGGCTTTGTCCAGTATTGGTAATGTCAGGGTTGCAGTGAGCTAACCTGGCTTTTGAGGCGGAGTCACACTCTGTCACCCAGGTTGGAGTGCAGTGGTGCGATCTCCACTCACTGCAACCTCTGCCTCCTGGATTCAAGCAATTCTCCTGCCTCAGCCTCCCAAGTAGCTGGGATTACAGGCACGCGCCACCAAACCTGGTTAATTTTTGTATTTTTAGTAGAGACGGGGTTTTGCCATGTTGGCCAGGCTGGTCTCAAACTCCTGACCTCATAACTTGCATTTTTCTATTTTGGCCAAGGATCTGGTGATAGTCTGGGTGCAGGAAACAACTGGGTTATTTGTGCAGGAGAGCTACGTGTTCCAGACCAGGAAGAAGGGCAGATTTATAGCTTACCTGCTTTCTCTTTTTGTTTTCCCTTGGTCCTGCCAGCCTGACTCCTTTCCCTAATTAGAGCTCCACAGACATTTCATATACAATGTCAGGACCTGTGGAAGGGGGAAAGCCCACTCTAGAATCCTTGCTAAAGAACCCCAGATGACCCCCAGGTCTCTGCCAACTCTAAAATGTAGTAATCCCAAGATAAAGGCGCCTCTTTGGAGCAGGAAACCAAATGTGGATGGATCAAGTTGCCAGCTGCCCTTAGAGAGCAGCCAGCCTTTCTCACGCCTCTCCTGGGTCTCACTGAAATGAGACTTGTAGGGAAGAGGGCACAATGCTGGGAAAGGCTGTGGGGCATGGCCGGCTGCTGGCTCTTCTCTGAGATCACAAGTATTCCCATGTTTTGAAATTGTTATTCCCTTTTCCTGGAATGAGCTTGAATTTTTCCCCTCTAAATTATGTCTACCTAGCACTATCTTCACTTTGATTTTGTAGCTAAGGCTTTCTGGTAGTCACTACCCCTGGTTCTATTCTTGAGTCTTTAACTAACTCCATGAATCCAAATTAGCAAGATTATCCTCTCACTCATCAGAGGTAAGTCTTAGCTGATTGTTTTCTACCCCTTCTTCCTGTAAAGCAATTCCTTTAATGCAGCCCACACAGGGACACCTTGACTCGCAGAGGGACTGTATCTAATCAGACAAAGCAGAAACAGTGGCATCTCAGGGCAGTGTCCCAGGTGGAAGCCTCTGGAGATGAGTTCTCCTGACCTCCTTTTTAGGAAGGATGACTGGCCCTCTCCTGGCCTTTGGCATCTCCAATTTTCTTGTTCCACCCTCAGTGGTTCAGAGAACTCACAGGTCCACCCCACGCTGCCTCCGCTTTCAGGGGCCCAGATGGTCAGTGCTCCTCTCCATGGGGTTGTGCCCTGGGCAGACCTGACTCTGAATCAGTTGAAGATGGAGCAGTGCAAAATCTTTGGGTTGCAAATCACAAAAGCCTGACTCAAAGAAGTATAAGCAAAAAGGGGGATGTATTTAAAGAGTCATGACGTGGGCAGATTTCGGTGCTTGGCTCCCTCTGGGGCTGGGTGAAAACTGATTGGAACAGCTAAGAGCGGCCACAGGGAGACCAGTTACAGGCTGGTGAGTGGCCCTGGGCCACATCTCGGGGAAGGCTGGTCTAGACCCAGGAAGCCGAGGCAGGAAACCTGGCTGCCCACCCTCCCCAGCTCCTCCGACATCACAACACTTCTCCTCCAAAAGCTGTCACCTTCTCCCAGGATCACAGCTGCCAGCCTGCTCCAGACACCCAGAAGAAAAAGAGAACATTTGGGGGAGCAGAATCCAATTTCAAAAAAGTCAGTTCCACAAGATCAGGCTTCCCCACACCCACTGCTGTCCGCATCCCACCACATGCCACTGCCAGGCTCCTTGTCCCCAAAAAGCAAACCCTACTGGCATTTTTCTTTTCCAAACCTTCGGTGACTAATCTCTCTCTCACTCTCTTTCTGCCTCTCTCAATAGTCTCTCAATATACATAGACTTGAGGATGCATCAGAGAATGTGGATGAGAAGATTTTAATGATCTTTCGTCATCGATGACCAGTTTTATTTGTTAGCAATAAGGAAGAATCCACAAGCAAGAAGGACTGTGTTTTTAATTAAAGATGTTTTGTGCATTGAAAATCAATGTTTAAATAGATCAGTTTAAGTATGAGCCCTTTGGGCAACATTTACACACCACATATTTATCTATGTGTCATTTGCGATCAACAGCATAGCTGTCATCTCCAGGAATTTTGTAGGATACGTGGAGAGAATTTCTTTCCCTCTTTTATTGCATATTGCTTTGTTCCAGTCTGTAAGCACTGAAATACCATATCACAGATGAAGTATGAACAGTGAGGAGGGCTGCTAGTGAAATAACAAGGTTTTACTTCGATAGTGAAACGTAACGGGGAAAGTGGCTTTATTAGCCAAGGTGCTGTTTCCTCAGCCAGGAACAATCAAGCTTTAAAAGATTTTATAACTGATATTAATAAGTCCTTTTCGCATTCAAAAGAAACACATAATACTCTGATTTAGGCTGGGCATGGTGGCTCACACCTGTAATCCCAGCAGTTTGGAGGCTGAGGCAGGTGGATCACTTGAGGTCAGAAGTTCTAGACCAGCCTGGCCAACACAGTGAAACCCCATCTCTACTAAAAATACAAAAATTAGCCAGGTGTAGCGGTGGGTGCCTGTAATCCCAGATACTTGGGAGGCTGAGGCAGGAGAATCACTTGAACTCAGAGGCGGAGGTTGCAGTGAGCTGGGATTGCTCCATTGCCCAGCCTGGGCGCAGAGAAAAACTCCATCTAAAAAAATAATAAAAACCTCTTATCTATTGATGGAAAATGTTGTCTTGTGATGCAAATATGTTGGTCACATCGAAAACTTAGGCTGAAATAAAGAACATTGCTCTCTAATTATACAATGTTTTTAGTGACTCTTCGAAATTAAATTCTCAAATTATCCTAAATGTCTCTCGTAACTCAGTGTTTTCCCTTCCATCTATATTTTCCTGGAATTCCAGCGAAATGCCAATTTAGAAAAATAGCTAATTTAAATATCACCAACTAATTTAATTCAGTTGAACGTGAAGTTTTCTGGAGTTTGGACTTCTGTCTTCCTGGGCACAGGGACCACTCTCACTTGCCAAGGGGCATTTCTCTTTAGCTCCATTACCCGTCCCACCAGACACTGGGCTCAGTTCAGCACCCAGAAGTTCATTTGGCCTCTATTAAAGAAAGTGAAAAGTGATTCATGAGAAGTAAGTGTATGACAGCCACACTCAGGTGAAGTTATCAGTTAGGTGAGGTTCAGTGACCTCCCGTGTGTGTGCTGATCAAGACGAGGAGCTCCAGCCGTTTAGGCTGAATGATCTGCAACCTGCCTTTTGGCCTGAGGGGCTGTCCGCAGAGATGGGACTTCTGCATTCTCTGCTCGTCCCTATCAAGCCTCTTTCCAGGCCTCATCTGCCATGCCAGCTTGATTTTCAGAACCAGGGAGTATCTATAAATAGCCTATGCAGGGCTGGAATGGGCTGCTGATCTCCTCAGCTCAGGGATCTGGGCCAGCACTGCCTCCCTGCAGTCCCTTCAGGGCTGGGATGGTTCCTACTGTGGATGCCATAGGCAGGATTTGCAGAGACTGGGCTCTGAACCACAGGGGTCCAGGAGAGGTATGGCTTGCTAGGTCTAGCTTGTAACAGCTCATGAAAGCCAATTAGTACATTTTCAGAAATTTTGCAAGCCGGTTGGCAAACCATTGGTAGCTTGCAATCAGCCACAGAGGAATCATTTATACTACTGAAATCAGCAAATGCTGAAACTGGGGCTTTGGGTTTTGGTTTTTGTTTCTTCCGTAAAGCCCACTGTCGAACTACTGTTAAACATTTACCAGCATACCACTGTGGCTGGGTCACAGCTCGGCTACCAGGAGAACCTGACACAGACTTCCTAACTGCTTTCACCGGCTACTGGAGAGCCCAGAAAGATGGTGCTGAAGGAGATGAGATTTCCCAGAAGGAAGTATGATTGAAGTCAGAGGTTTATATCAGAAATATTCTTCCATTTGGAACCTGGAAATGGAAGTCACTTCTGCTGCCTTTCGCAGAGTAAGACGGCATAAGAGATGTCTGTGACAGCTTGAAAGGCTGCATCTTCATTTTCTTTCATTTTCAATATTGCTCTCTGAGATTCTACGGGATGACTGTGTTAGTCTGTTTTCACACTGCTGATAAAAGCATACCCAAGACCGGGAAGAAAAAGAGATTTAATTGGACTGACAGTTCCACATGGCTGGGGAAGCCTCAGAATCATGGCAGGAGGCAAAAGGCACTTCTTACACGGCAGTGGCAAAAGGAAAAATGAGGAAGATGCAAAAGCAGAAAGCCCTGATAAAACCATCAGATCTCATGACACTTATTCACTATCAGGAGAACAGTACAGGGGATCCACTCCCATGATTCAAATGATCTCCCACTGGGTCCCTCCCACAACACATGGGAATTATGGGAGTGCAAGTCAAGATGACATTTATGTGGGGACACAGCCAAACCATATCAATGGCCTTGGAAGAAAAGATGCAATTGAAGTAAAACCTAATAAGATCACTCTCTATTCCATTTTCTGGGAAAGAGATAAATTTCTCTGTGTATGCTTAAGTGACACCCAAGGTTAACTGTAGGACAGGATGATGGTGAAAATACATTAAAGACAGATATCCTGTGTGGCGCACACTCTCACTGTAGCGATACGCCCCAGCCCCAGATGGCCTTACATTGCAATGAATGGCCACCCTACGTCCAACCCGGCAGCTGCATCTCTTTGCCTGAGGGCTTTCCTCTAGAAAATATAAGTCCCCAGGGAGCAACCTTCCATCAAAAACTGGCAGGATTTAGTGTGTAAACGTCCCAGCACCTATGTTAGGATATCTCTGAGGCGTATGCACACTGTCATGAAGAGTTCCCCAGCTCACTAAAGAGCCAGTGCCCCACTCTGTCATTGGCTTGACAATGCACTCTGTATTGGAGTTCCTTCCTCTCTTCCCTGTTTCACTTCCCCACTCTTTACTACTTTTTGTTGTTGTTTTTTTTGTTTTTTTGTTTTCTGTTTGTTTGTTTGTTTTTTGAGGTGGAGTCTCACTCTGTTGCCAGGCTAAAGTGCAGTGGCACGATCTCAGCTCACTGCAACCTCCACCTCCTGGGTTCAAGCAATTCTCCTGCCTTAGCCTCCAGAGTAGCTGGGATTACAGGTGCCCGCCAGCTAACTTTTGCATTTTTAGTAGAGATGGGGTTTCAACATGTTGGCCAGAATGGTCTTGATCTCTTGACCTTGTGATCCACCCACCTTGGACTCCCAAAGCTGAGATTACAGGCGTGAGCCACTGCGCCCTGCCTTTACTACTGTTTTCTAGGATTACCTCCCAAACAAACTACTGGGGCCGCCCCACCCCTTGCCCACCCAAAGCCTGCATCCTGGGAAGATAGATTAAGACTAGCTACTCTTTCCCTGAAACTCTGCTTATCCGGGGCCTGATCACTTGTGCACCCCGGTCTCACAAAGGGCCTGCACTGAGACACAGTGACTGTATACGCCAGCCAGAGTTCCCCCTGCATGGGAACTTAGAGCAGGGCATCAGTTGCATAATTTAATGAGAAATCATATACAACTGAGGCCCCATTTAATTCTTTTTTTTTTTTTTTTTTGAAACAGAGTTTCGCTCTTGTGACCCAGGCTGGAGTGCAATGGCGCGATCTCGGCTCACCACAACCTCCGCCTCCTGGGTTCAGGCAATTCTCCTTCCTCAGCCTCCTGAGTAGCTGGGATTACAGGGACGCGCCACGGTGCCGAGCTAAGTTTTATTTGTATTTTTAGTAGAGACGGAGTTTCACCATGTTGACCAAGATGGTCCCCATTTAATTCTAAAGCCCTTATTCAATTATCCGCAGGGGCCTGAGGACGGAGTGGAGAACGTGTGTCTGATGGCTTTTTTAAGTATTATTATATAAAATTTCAAGCATAGACAGAGTTCATTAGAGTACAATGAACCCTCAGGCTCTCAGCACCAGCTTTAACAGTTATCTACCGGTAACTAATCCCTTTTTATCATGTCCCCACTTCCTTTTCCTGGATTATTTTAAAGTAAATTTAAGACATCACATTATTTAATTTGTAAATACTTCAATAGATATCTCCAAAATATAAGGTCTCCTGAAAATAACAATATAAGAGCATTTATTAAAACACACTACTAATCATACTTAATGGTGAAAGACTGAAACATTTCCCCCTAAAATCAAAAACAAGACAAGGATGTCTGCTCTTGTCACTTCTATTCAACATTGGATTGGAGGTTAGAGCCAGGTCAATTAGGCAAGAAAAAAATACAGAAATCATCCAGATTAGGGAAGAAGTAAAATTATCTCTATTTGTATGTGGCATGACCTTGAATAGAAAATTCCAAGGAATTTACCCCAAAAAAATGAATGAAATTAATAAATGGATTCAATAAGGTTTCAGGATACAAGATCAATATTAAAAGATCAATTATATTTCTCTTTGAACAATGAACAATCTCAACATGAAATTTTGGAAGAAAATTCCATTTACAATAGCATAAAAATAGTAAAATATTCAAGAATAAATTTAACAAAAGAAGAGAAAGACTTGAACATGAAAAACTATAAAATATTGCAAAAAATTTAAAGAAGACCTAAATAAATCAAAAAATAACTCCATTTCCAACTCTCCAAAACAATCTATAAACCCAGTGCAAACTTACCAAGATCTCAGCTTCCTTTTTTACAGAAATAGAAAAACTGACCCTAAAATGCATGTAGAAATGCTTGTCAAGAATAGCAAAAATCATCTTTAAAAATAAGAACAAAGTTTTGGAAGACTGACACTTTCCATTTTCAAAATTTATCACAAATGGATAGTAATCAAAATAGTATGCTCCAGACACTCAACCCTATTTCACTGATCTATCAATATGACAGACATACAGACCAATGAAATAGAGTTGAGTGTCTGGAGATAACCCCGCACATCTATGGTCCATTGATTTTTGACAAGGATGCCGAGATAGTCAATGGGGAAAGACTTGTCTTTTCAACAAATGGTGCGGGGATAACTGGACATCTGTGCAGAAAAGAATAAAGCTGGACCTCTGTCTTACATCCTATACAAAAGTTCATGAGGAATAAATTTAACAAAAGAGGAGAAAGACTTGAACACCAAAAACTATAAAATATTGCAAACAATTTAAAGAAGACCTAAATAAATGGAAAAATAATTCCATTTCCAATCCATGTTCATGAATCATAGACTTAAACGCAAGTGTTAAACTTATAAAACTCTTGGAAAATAAGAGTAAATCTTTATGACCTTCAATTAGGCAAACATTCTTAGATCAGACACCGAAAGCACAAGCAACCAAGGAAAAGCTAGGTAATTTTTTTTTGAGATGGAGACTCGCTCTGTCACCCAAACTGCAGTGTAGTGGCACAATCTCTGCTCACTGCAACCTGTGCCTCCCAGGTTCACGTGATCCTCATGCCTTAGCCTGCCAGATAGCTGAGACTACTGGCATGTGCCGCTATGCCTAGCTAATTTTTGTATTTTTAATAGAGACAGGGTTTCACTATAATGGGCAGGCTGATCTTGAACTCCTGGCCTTCAATGCTTCACCTGCCTCGGCCTCCCAAACTGCTGGGATTACACGCATGAGCCACAGCACCTGGCCTAAAAGCTAGATGAATTGAATTTCATAAACATGAAAAACTTCTGCCTTTTAAAAGACGCTATCAAGAAATAGAAAAGACAATGGAATGAAAGAAACTATTTGCAAATCAAGTATCTGATTAGAGTCTAGTATTCAGAATATATAAA